TCCTCCCCCATCCCACTCCTAAAGCTGTACCAAAGGGGCCCAAGCAGGGAGCCTGGATTTCAACTCTCACACTGGTGCTAGTAAGGCAATGCTCCCTCCCCTAGCTGAGGAGGACAGCCATAACAAAGCTGTATATGCAGCTGACCCTTGGACAACGTCAGGGTTAGGGCGCTACCTCTGTGTAGTGGAAAATCCACATAGAACTTCATGATCGGCCCTCCATACTCGAGGTGCTCCTTCTGCAGATTCAACCAACTACAGATCTCTAGAAGCGTAGTGCAGTATTCTAGGACGTGGTTACTGAAAAAGATCCGTGTAGAAGTGGACCTGTGCAGTTCAAACTTGTATTGTTCAAGGGTCCACTGTTATTCCAGCGTTCATAATACCTAAAATGTCCAGGCCCAAACAGAAAATCATTCACCCAATCAAGAGCCAGGAAAATCACAACTTGAATAAGGGATGAATGACGTGGCAACTATCTGACAAGCAGTTTAACACAGGTAGTTTAAAAATGTTTCAGGAAGCAATTACATATTCACTTGAAAAAAATAGAAAAATCTCAGTGAAGAGATCAGAAGAGCTCAAAACTATAAAAAGAACCAGGTGGACATTACAGAATTGAAAAATACGTATTCTTTCTCTGCTACAGAAGATGTGCTCTCACAAACTAAGAGGAAGTAAATGGGCTCCAGGTGCTGGCTTGACGGGAACCCAGCACAGACAAAGGAGGCACCAGGGACACGAGCTGAGCTGGGCAGCACGTCTAGAGGGCAGCCAGTGCAGACTGGAGGGATGTCATCGAGAAGAGAAGAAATGAAGCTGACAGAGGCCTGACAGGGCAACCTGTATTTGGAGTTTCTCTATAGGTTTGGTGGAGAGTTGGAGGATGACTCAGTGACTGGCTGGGAAAACCTAAGCTGACGTTAGCAGAAGCCTTGTAGTGCTATGCGACTTCTTCTAAAACTCCATTTTTATATTTTGCTAGCTTTTGGATATACTTTCTAAGTCTACTGTTTTATAATACTTTAACTTTCCTTAATGTTTTGTTTTAAATCAGTATTGACACGTTTCAGAAGATGTACTGAGCAGGCTCTCCCTCCTTCCTTAAATTCATCCATGGCCATCTCTGCACAATACCACTCCAGTTCAGTGTTTTGTTGAATCGAAATTGCCAGCACCACACAACACACTGATATTTTTGGGTACCACTTAAAAATACATTAATTAATGACAGAGTATTACCATGCAATCAATTTAAAGTTATATATTGATTTCAGAGATGTGACATGTACATGTTTGTTCTTACTTGTATCATAGTATGTTCTACATGGCTTGTGCTTTGTTTCTTTTAAACTTTTTGTTCACTTTTTTCATTTCTACCCTCTACGCCTACAGCATTTTCTGTTGTAATTTCGCCTTCATTCTCTGATGGTTTCTTCCAGATCTTTGCTGAGTTCTGTCAACTCGTGTGTCATCTTTGTCATTTCTTCTTGGGAGTCTTTGCATTTCATCTTTGTGTTTTCCTTCATAGAAGCGGTGGTTATTTCATTAAGTAATTCATGTTCGTAGTCAAATAGTTTGTTACAAATGTCATCCGTCCCCTGTAAGCGCTTTTCTGGTGAGCGTTCTTAGTGAATGAATGAGTCTATACTGCTGCTCTTTTCCGACTTGTTAGTTATCCTCACATCAATCCGTCTGTTATTACTCATCAGTGAGTGAGCCGGGCTGTTGCAAACAACAGCCATTTACATGACATCCTCTTTGCCTGGGCGTGGGGGCGTGAGGACTGCTCTCTCCGCTGGGTAGTTTCCGCAGTCCAAATGCTCTCTCCTTCCAGGTACCACAGAAACAGACTGCCTACTGCAGAAAGGGCCAGCGTGGGTACCTGTGTGGGGCCCGACCCCCACAACTTCTCTGAACCATCCTAAGCCCGGGAAGGCGTCTCCCACCTCACTCACATTTCTGCACACGCTGCTCACGAGGGATGTACTTCTGTACTTTAGTGTGCTCTTCACCTTCAGAGATGTATTTTTTTCTCTTTACTACTTTAAAAGTCACTTCATACGCTACTTTGTTTTAAGAAAAAACATTTTAAATAATGGAAGATAATGTATAACATTTGTAAAATTTACTTTCTAGTGTTGGCAAGAATGTGGAGAAAATGGGAACATATATTTTATGAGAATGTAAAAAGGTAGTAGAGTGATTGGAAATCAGAATTTAAACTGCACATTTCCTTTGACCCATCAATGCTCCTTCCAGAAATATATTCCGGGGGGAGGGTATGATAGCTCAAGTGGTAGGGTGCATGCTTAGCATGCACGAGGTCCTGGGTTCAATACCCAATGCCTCCTCCAAATAGAAATCAACGAATAAACCTAATTACCTCCCCCTCATAAAACAAACAAAACAAGCAGAAACGTATCCCAGGGAAATGTCTGCAAAGGGACTCAATGATAGAACAATGAGATTCACTGTAGTATTGCTTTTACAGCGATAAATGGAAATAAATGTTCATTAATTGAGGACTTAAGGATGGCATCAACACAGCTGGGAACATCACACAGTGTAGGAATACAGGCTCCTTTTCCAGGTTTGCATCTTCCCGACCTCTAAAGACGGTCTGTCCTATGCTCTGGTCCTTGCACCACTTCTGTTGTCTACCTACACTTGTGATCAGTGGATCTTTTCCGCTCTCACGGTGTTAAAAGCACTTACACAACATACCTTGGAGATAACGCAGTGGTCTGCCCCCAGACCACTGCAATAAAGTGAATATCACAGTAAAATGAGGAGCACACATTTTTTGGTTTCTCAGTGCATATGAAATTTATGTTTACACTATGCTGTAATCTAGTAAGTGTGCAATAACATTATGCATAAGAAAACAACATACATGCCTTAATTAAAAAAACACTTTGTCGCTAATAAAAGCCAACTACAATCTGCGACCCCAGGGAATCATGGCAGTGACATCAGAGATCACTCCTCACCGTAACAGATATAATAATGATGAAAAAGTCCGAAATACTGTGAGAATTATCAAAATGTGACACAGAGACACAAAGTGAGAAAATGCTGGGAAAAAAAAAGACACCAATAGACTTGCTTGATGCAGGACTGCCACAAACCTAAATATATATGAAAAAATACAGTTTCTGCAAAGCGCAATAAAACAAGGTGTGCCTGTACCTGCTTTAGTTCCCAACTCTTACCCCTCAGCATGGACCTCTATCTTCAATTCCAGAACTGTAGATACTTCAGAATTATATAACCAACTCTAAGCACCTGACATCTCTGCCTGAGAGTGTCTAACCACTTGGATATCTCAAAGTAAACTGTTCAAAACCAAACTCTTGATTTCCCTCCCCTCTGCTACTCCACAAGTCTCCTCACTTTAGGAGGGCTAATTCCTTAAATGTAGATGCTCAGGCAAAAACTCCCTCCCTTTCTCTCCACCCAATCAGAAATTTCGACAGCTGTACCTTCAGTACATAACTGGAACTTGAACTCTCTTCAGACTTACTACCTCCACGCTGGTCCAAGCCACTAAGGCAGTCTAAGGCAGTCATCACCTCACACTTGATCTTACTGCTTCTACTCTTGCCTTCTCGCAGTTCATTTTCAGCACAGCAGGCTGAACAATCCTTTCAGAAATAAGTCAAATCACATCACTCCTGTGCCCCCACCCAGTGACAGCTCTCCGTCTCGCTCAGCATAACATGCACAGGACCCTGAATGGCCCATAGAGCCCTGCATACATAGTCCGGCCCTCAGTTACATCTCTGAACCATTTTATACAACTCTCTTCCTCATTTAAAAGTCACGGAACAATGCTAAGTAACCGTGCAACTTCCAGTGTGCGTGGTTGTCCTCACGCTCCTGCACTAGTGTGCAGTGATGGCTGCGGGTCTCCTACAGCAGGGCCCTGGGCCCCATTCCTTCCTCTGCCTGACACAGTCTGACATCCGGGAGCACGTGGCTCCATCCTTCATGCTCTTGAAACCTCGGCTCACAGCAGTCTTTCCAGAAACCAATGACCCCTTCTCCTTATCACTTATACTCTCTTTACACTGCCCTCTTTGTCTTCATATACTTATTATTTCTCTATGCTCAACAGGTAGTAAGCTGAAGGAGAACAGACACTTTGCTTTAGTCACTCATATCCCAGATTCTAAAATGATACTCCGCATCCAACTGGCATTCATAATTTTTTTCTGAATGAAGCTTCATGAAGAAGTAGCTACAAATTCATGAATATGGTAAGCTATTCCTGACGTAAGTAAAAAATGCAATATATAAAACAAGCAATCAACAAAATCCTGTTTTTAAGAATCTATCAACGTATCTACCTGTGAATGTAAAAAAAAAAAAAAGATGTGGAAAGATACTTAACAAAACTTAACCAACCAATATTATTCTGAGGAGTGGGACTGGAGAGATGGGTGGAGAATAGGACAATGATTTTCACTTTGTATTTTAAAATATATTTTTTTGACTAACTTTTTTTGAGGGGGTTTAATTAGATTTTTATTATTTATTTATTTTTAGAGGAGGTACAGGGAATTGAACCCAGGACCGTGCATGCTAAGCACGCGCTCTACCACTTGAGCTATACCACCCCCCCGTACTTTAAAATATTTTTATATTGTCTCATTTTCTTTTCCAAAATATTACTTTTAGAATCAAGAAGATAAAGGCTAAAGAAAGGAAAAAAGCATGTATTAACTCCTGTCACGATGCCATTTTTGATAGCAACAGTAACTGGGTCTTTACTGTGGAGGCCAGCTCTGTTCTAAGTGCTTTAAATACACAAGAATCCTCTGCAGCAGATGTCATGAGTATGCCCATTTGATAAATGAGGTAAATGAGGATCAGAGAGGTTGAGAGACACATCCAGATCACGCAGCTAGAAAGTGGCTATAAAAAGACGCACACAGGCAAATTATGGGAACCTTGTCATGTGCAGCAGCCCCTTTCCGCCCCAAGCGTGCGCTCACCCTGCAGGCCTCGGCGACCCGGACGTACTCCGCATAGAGCTCTCCACTCGGGGACTGGCCACTTCCGGAGGCTGAGGAGGGATGAGGGTTTTCCGCACGGCCATCCTGAAAGAGACGAGAGACAAACCCGGAATCCAACAGTCCAAGGGCAGTGAAGGAGAAGAACCACACATCTGCCAAGCAGAGCCGGGCCAATGCAGTGCTTTCGCTGTGCTGCACTACAGTGCTAGGTATTTAAAAAAAACTTTAATCAAAGTAATAAAGGCACCTTACGTAAAAAGCCAAAGAGAACTGAACATCTTTTGATGACATACAGCAGATCCCTTCCCCAGCCCTCCCCACTTTCTGTCTCCATTGTTGTGACTCTTTTACCTGCTTCTTCTAACATCTCCTTTCTACTTAACAGTAAAGTTTAAATCCATTTAGTAGGGGAAGGTACAACTCAGTGGTAGAGCACGTGCTTAGCACGCACGAGGTCCCGGGTCCAATCCCCAGCACCGCCACTGAAAAAAATAAATAAATGAACCTAATTGCCACCCCTCCACAAAAGCAAAAAAGAAAACAAACAAACAAAAATAAATCCATTTAGCATTTATAATCATTATCAGATCTGTGTATTTATAGTGACCTGAGCAAGTTCCTAAAACTGAGTGAAAAGAGCTGACCAGGCAGCTGGTCATCAACTGTGTCAGGGAGCAGAGGGGCCACGCGGGGTTCAGACCGATCACTCACTCCTGGGGTTTAGCAACGTGAAAGTCATACGCGATCTTGATGTGTTTCATTTGGGCAGGGTGGTGAAAAGAGAGAAGATGGCCAGAACCAGAATCTACCTTCCTGCAACGCCTAGTCACTAATAGATCCAGACGCGCACCATCAAGACTGCTAACATCTCAAAAAGGGTGACCCACCACCAGCCAGCATAGTTCTCCCAGTAAAAGACTAAACCATCGCTCATGAAGGAGTCTTGGCAAGAGGGGAAGAAAAAGCAAACTTAACCAAGCCTTTAGATCCAAGTAACACGTTAAGAGAAAGTGTAGAGGAGAGAATAACACGTGGAACTAGGCAGTTTCTAGTTTCAGGGGGCAGTGGGTTAAATTGCGTTCCCTAAAACGACATATCCGAGTCCTAATCCCTGGTACCTGTGAATGTGAAAAAAACAGGGTCTTTGCAAATGTAATTAAGTTAAGGATCTTGAGGTAAGATCACTCTAGATTTAGGGTAGACCCCAAATCCAAAGACTGGTGCCCCTGTAACAGAGAGGAGAGGAGGTGTGCTGCACACACACACGGAGGGAAGGCCACGTGAATATGGAAGCAGAGGCCGGTGTGGTCTGGTCCATCCACAGGCCAAGGAACTCTAAGGACTGCCAAGGGCCCCCAGGAGCTAGGAGAGGCATGGGAGGGCTTCTCCCGGAGGGCGTTCAGAAGGGACCAGCCCTGCCGCGCGCTGGTTGTAGACTTCCAGCCACCAGAACTGTGAGAATGAACTCCTGTTGTTTTAAGTCACCAAGCTTGTGGTAACTTGTTAGAGCAGTCTAGGAAACCAGTACAACGCGAATCCAATCGACTAAGCTCAGGGAGAGAGTGGGGGAGAGGAAAAGCTCTGGAGAAGTCTAGAGGACAAAAGACCAAGTTTCTTCAACAGATAAATTGCAAGAAAAAAAAGAGATGGAGGAAACTTCTTTATTAGAAGAGTCTAATAGACATATCAATTAATCTTAATGCATGTACCTTATCTGAATACTGATTCAAATAATGTAAAAGAAAACAAAACTTGTGACATCTGAGATCACTGGAAGTTTGCACAATGACTAAATATTTGATAACATTAAGGGGTTTTTGCATTTTTTTTTTTTAGTATGTATCTCTCAATAAACACATGCAGAAATATATACAAGTGAAATGACATGTTCCCTGGGATTTGCTTCAGAATAACACAGTGGGAAGGAGAGGGGAGGTATACAGGCAAACATGAGCTGGTAAGTGAATGCCTGAAGTTGGATGAGGGGTATAAATTCATATGGTCAAGTGTGTATTATGCTTAAAGATCTCACAATAGAAGGAAACTAACAAGATTAAATGAACAAATTTAAAATTTAAATTTAAATTAATAAACAGTAAGAAAGTAACAAAAAAGCAAGACCTACACATTGTAATTGACTGTACTTCAATTAAAAAAAACAAGACCAAGTCCACCACTCACCTCCCCCAAAACAAGGAAAGGCCCCCTCAAACCTCTAATGAGATACACCATTATAAACCCACAGAATGACCAAACTTAAAAAGAGTGCCAAACACCAAGCACTGGTGGTGTAAGGCACAGACCCTACTGCTGGTGAGAGTGTAAATACAGACACCTGCACAAATCGTGGGCATCACCTGCCAGAGCCAAACCCGAGCACAGCCTACCTCCCGGCAAATCCCCTCCCCGCACACAACAGGAAGGCATCTATGGATGCCTCCCAGGTGACGCACAAAGATGTTCAGGATAACATTCTGGCCAGACATTGGAAACAACCCAAATCTCCATAGATAAACTATGGTATTATACATACAAGGGCATTTTATAGAGCAATAGAAAAAACTACAATCACATCCAGTAACATGGATGTACTGCACAAATCAAGTGAAAGACGGGCTCACACACAAAAAAGTATAATATGTGATTTTACGGGAGCTTAAAAAAAGGCAAAACAAATCCACAGGATAAAAAGGAAAACTGGTTAGTAACCTTTGGGAGAAAATGCTGGTAATGGTGTTTCCTGACCTATGGAGCGGCTGCATGTGGCGTTCGCTTTGTGCTAACTCATTATGCCTTCTGTACACTATCTGTGCAGTTTTCTACACGTCAGTGAAAATGCTGGAAGAAAGAGACACTGGAAGACGTGGAGCTCACAAAGAGAGACAACTCCTTTCTACTCTTTGCAAATAGGGGCAACTTGAGGGCAGAGAGTGGGACGAAGTGGCTCCACAGAAAGATTTTTCTTAAATGATGGAAGAAACATCGGCACGTTGATATTCTGTGTGGCTGATCCACTAGCAAGAAAGAACTGACAGAGTAGGAAAGGGGAGAAGGGCAGGAGCAGGTGGGAAAGGCCCTGAGAGCTCATGGGGCTGAGGGATGGGAAGGCCCAGCGGGGGTGAGGCTGGCGGGTGAGATGTGACAGCCAAAGTTTGTCAAGTTCTCTCTTGGTTGCTTCCATTTTCTCAAGAACATGGGCAGCACGCGCATTAGCTAAGGGTGGACATGGGTGGGGGGAGCTCAGGGAGCAGCAGGGGTGGCACAGCTGCCTGGGGGGGCGCGTGAGGACAGCAGACTGTGCCAGTCAGCTGGCAGACGCACCGCGATAAACTATCATGAAATTCCACAGCCCTGGAGACAAAAAAGTGTTGGTATTTTTAGCTCCTCCCCTTAGGCTAGATGGACCCCCGAGGGAGCATAGAACCCTCTTCTCACTGGCTGTCAGAAGAGTTAATTAAGTTCAACTGCCAGGGCTGCGCCAGCCAAAAGGGAGAAGTGAACTGGGAAGCCTCAGTGCCGACCAAATGCTCGGACACCTGATCTGCTTCTGGGACGGTACTATGTCCCGTGCTGTGCTGGCCGGTCCAGAGGACCACCTGCAGAGCTGAGACCTCCGGGAGTCTTCTGGGATGGGAGAGGGCTGTGACCCCCACGATGCGGGTGGGGAAACGGATGCAGGACTCTAACCACCTCTTGAACCGCCTCCTTGTACCCCCAGGTCTGCTCCTGGTCCTTCAAAGATACTGCAATTTAAAGGATGGTTCTCAACGCCCCTCTCTGCAGACCGAACATTTGCCTTTCTCACAGCTAAGGGGGTGGGTGACTGCCTGCCTGGCTGTTTTCCAGCTCCAAAGCCTGGTTCCTGTTGTGTTGTCTCCTTTCCCCCCATCCTTGTGGGCTTACAATCTTTCTAAAAGCCTCTTTAGTACAAGTTCTATCGGGTTTGGAGACGAAAATATTTAGAAGTGTGTGTTTAATCTCCTGTCTTAACTCCAAGCTCTGCCTTGTGTTTTCATCGACAAGGTTACTCTGCCCTGGTCTGACTTGTCATTAAAAGATGGAGACTCTGGCACACCCCTTTCTGCCTGTGACCCGCAGACTCGGAAGCATCTATGACAACACAGAACACTGCGTGCTACTAAATACGACCCTTAACACACTGGGAAACTGCATGTCCCGAGCAACATGAGGATGATGAGGGAAAAGTATACAATACACATGAACGTGCAAGCTGGACAAGCCTAGAGTTCAGTACTTCAGGGTTCTAGGGTTAAACTCTCCAAACCCGAGAGAACTCCTAAGAACTACGCAACAGACGCTCACAACGGATACCCAACTGGCTCTCAGATTCTTACCATCCCACAGCCTGAGCGTGGCGAGGCTCTGCTGAGCACGCCTGCGGTCAAGTTATGTTGGAGGAAATTTAAAAATAACACAGGAGGCAAGAAATTAGAGTCGGCTCTCAGCACTGGATGAGTGCCTACTGTTTACACCGATTCTATCCAGAACCAGAGGTGTCATTTGGCAGCACCGGGTCCACTCACCCGTCCGTGGCGGGTTTCTTCCGGAGGATGCTTGGCCGTGGGGAGGAGCCCTGGGCCGGAGCGCTGGTGCTGGCGCTCTGGCTGTGGGTCTGCACCACCGTCGTCGCTGCTGGGGCAGCGCTGAACGGACTGTTGATGGGGTTGGCTACGATCGTGGCTCCATCTGCCAACACCACTGCTGGAGGACACAGAGAGGTCAAGAAGGAAGGATGGAGAGAGGGAATGGAAGAGACATGACAAAGAGGTCACATAAAAACCACCAGCCCACCAGAATTAAGATTCCCTGTGTGTGACTGCGATTTCAAGAAGGTAAGGAATAAGAGCACAGTGTGCACTATCAAAAAGCAGATGGCAGAGAGGGAGGTCACAGAGTCCACTGACGCACGATCAATAACCAGTTCTCTTTGCCCTACATTCGTGATTACTAATAAATGAGACAAGTTACACAGAGCATACAGTAGACTTCAAGAAACATTCTCCTACGGCTTTTTGGTAAAATACCACTGCTGCTCCGTCCCTAGTAATGTTACCAACATTTCAATCTATCTTAACTTCACAGCGTTACATACAACTCCAAAGAGTATCTTAAAATGGAATGAGAATGCTCTCCTATAAGGTAAATGTACTCTCTCAACTCAGAGCTCTTTTCAAGTGCTTCTTCCCACGTGCAAATGCATAGTAGGCTCTTTATCACTGTAATTTCTAGTAACTGCAATGATCCTGACAGGTGAGTTCTAAGCAACTCATGTTACAAAGAGACCAGGGCTGAGCAAGATTACCCGAGGCCACAGAGCCAGCACGTGGCAGACCCTTGATTTAAATACAGTGCACCTCTTTCTTTCACATCAATTTCCAAGCCAAAAATTAAAATTACCTGAGGTCTTTCCTTCGGGTTGAGGCTGCTGGGTCCCTATTGGCGCAGGCTGAAGTCCCTGTGTGCTGATTGGTGTTGCCGAGTGAATCCCCTGTGTGCCAATTGGTGCTGGTTGTATTCCCGGGGTCCCAATGGGGGCCGGCTGGATCCCCTGCGTGCCGATGGGGGCTGGCTGGATGCCCTGGATGTGTCGAGCATGAGATGCATCCACTGTCATCAACTGCATGGGGTTCAGGTGGACTGTAGATGCCACACCAACACCAGTCTGAGCTGTGATGGCAGAGTTTGGAGCCTGAGCCGAAACTGAAAATGGTGCAAAAAGGGACAAGAACGTCAGCTCTGATTAGACATGGTCTGTATAAGGAGAAAAACACTAAAATCAAAATAGAATATTTCAGGGGGGAGGGGATGGCTCAGAGGGAGAATGCATGCCTAGCTTGCAGGAGGTCCTGGGTTCAAGCCCCAGTACCTCAATAAGAAAAACAAATAAATAAAAAAACCTAATCACACCCATCCCCTGCAAAAAATCAGAAATTTTCCACTTTTCAAGACCTGAATCTTCAGTTTAAAAAAGTACTCCATAAAACTCTACATATTATGGATTTTCCCTCCTTACTTCCTACCAATTCGATATGATCTTTCTGCAGATTACTAGAAATAGCATGAAAGCCAGAAAAAAGCAATCATTTATTAAATGCCAAATGTGAGCCAGACAACTGTGTACATAATTAATATGAAACTTCTGATACATCCATGGCTCCAGGTCAGGAATCTTCCCTTTAATTGACAGAACCGTTATCACAGGCATTTCTGAAATACCGTAACTGTGGGTTTTAAATTCTATAATATCCACTGACGTCAGAGAATAATCAAGTTTCCCTTTTCCTTTCAGGCAAATGTATCAGCTACTGTGTATGCTAAAAACAAATGAACTCAACCACCACAAAATTGAAAACAAAACCTTTCCAGGAAGCAACAAAAAAGAAGGGATTTCTCAGTATTTGTGGAAAGAAAACAAACACAAAAGACTTCTTCTCAGTCATCAAAGCCTCTCTTTTGGGATTTAGCACCTTATAATATCTCTTCATGTCTAATCTCCCTACTAGACTCTAAGGTGTTGAAAGCAACATCTGCTTAAAAGTCAACTTTAAAAATAGAAGTCTAGCACAGGACCTTACATACAGTAGGGTTCCAATAAATACCTGTGGAATGAATGCATTAATAAATGCATGAAGGAATAAATGAATGAATGAAATGGAAGACATCTCTGAAACAAGTGAAATTTCAGAAAAAATATGCGAAGGCTCCTACAAACTATGTAGATTACGTATCTACATTCACAATTATATATTCACCTCTCTATTTAACTTATAACTGAGAAACCAACAAGATTCTGTCTTTATAAGCAACGAGAGTCCATGAACAACGATTCTAATCTATCATAAACTATGTATTAGAGTAATCTCATATTTGACAAGATCAGAGCCTACTGTATACAAATTTTCCTGTTCTCTTCATGGCTTGAAGACATCTGCTTTAAAATGAGCTAATGAATCCATAACACTTGAAAATAAGACACTGTAAGCCAGTTAATAAATCATTTCTTCATTTGTGTTTTTCCATGTATAGATTTATATGACTGAGAAATAATATATCACTTCTCTTCTGCCCAGCAATGGCAGTACTGGTACTGGAAGGAATAAAGTGTTATTGACTGTCTTACTCATTTTTCTGTATTAGTGTCCAGCAGGGCTACTGCAGGGGTGAAAGGAGAGACTTGGAAAAAGAATAATGTGGAGAAAGAGATGACTGGCAGATCCCCCAACACTGTAGACAGGGGTCTTATGATGGATTTTCACAATAAATGTTTGCATAAAGCAAGAGTGTCTGCATGGTTGGCTGGAGCTCAAGAGAGAGGCTGTAAATCCTTTCCAGCTGGTTAGCATTCCAAGACACACATATTGGCCATGAATTACCTTCTCGAGAAAGGCAAACCGACTGCATTGTTATAGAAGCATCAATTGGCCCAAGTAGCGGACAAAGGAACCTGAAGTCAAGTGCTGTTACTGACAAGGAGACTTAAGAATTTTTGGGGGGGCTTGTGCGGGGCGTGATGGAGAGGATATAAAATGGTGTGCCTAGCATGTATGAGGTCCTGGGTTCAATTCCAGGAACTCCATTAAAAATAAATAAATAAACCTGATTATCACCCTCACAAAAAAAAAAAAAAAAAAAGAACTTTAAGCAATCCATGTAACAGACAAACACACACACAAAAACTTAGAGCATGAAATTTACTTCTTAATTGTCAATATGTTTCTATGATACTTTTTGCATCCTACTTCTGGCAACGATCAATTAAACGTGATTTTATCTTTGTAAGATCGTTAATAAAGAATGCTGTTACAAATCTCCTTTAAAAAGATGTTATCACTTTGAGGTACAGCAAAACAGGACAGAAGAGTCAGAATTTAGCTCTTTTCCCACACTAGAGGAAAAATTAAAATAAAACTTGGGGGGAGTTTTGAAAAATAAATAGCCATCCCCACAAAAAAAGCCCCTCAAAATACAACCAAACCAAACCAAATCAAACCAAAACAATGCAGTGATGGAGGAACCTGTTTTCAAAGCTATTTAAATACCTTAGTGTCTTCCTAATGTGAACTATGGAATTAGGTTGATAAAAATGTGCCCATGTTGGTTCATCGATTGTACCAAATATGCCACACTGATGAGGGGTGTTGAGGGTAGGGGAGTATACACATGTGGGTGGGGAGGGCTGTGTGGGAACTGTATTTTCTGCTTAATTCTGCTGTAAACCTGAAACTACTCTAAAAAAATACAGTCTATTAAAAAAATATTAATACCTTATCATTTGAAAGTTTTAGACTAGCACTGTCCAATGGAAATATAAGTCATACGCAGAATTTCCAATTTTCTAATAGCCATGTTAATAAAGTAAAAAGCAGGTCAAATTAATTTTAATGATATATCTTAACCCAATATATCCAAAAATTATCATTTCAAAACATAATCACTACGAAAATTATCAGTAAGATATTTTACATTCTCTTTTCCATATTATATCTTTAAAATTCAGGGTACATTTTACTCTTAAAATGCATCTCAATTCAGATACTAAATTTTTATCAGAAGTATTTGATTTGTACCTTAATTCCATAAAATCTACAATTTTGAAAAACAGTAGTTTTGCATCACAAGCTGTTCCACACATATTTGAAGATTCTCTCCTTTTAATTAAGTAAAACAAAGAATTCAGTTCTCCTTCTGTGCCAGGTCCCCCTTCAAAGGCTCAAGGGCCTGTATGGCCAGGCTGTAGTCGTGGACCGCACAGCAGAGGGGCGAGAGCCACAGCCTGAACCATCTGGCTTTCTTCCACCTGAAGTGGGCTGAGGGTTCCACAGGAAAACACTATAGACTCTGAGGTTTAAGGATTGTTCATTCTGGATTGGCAAAAAGAACACACATCTGGATGGTGAATGTTAAGCATACCTGGACTAACGTCAAAAATGCAACAAATATTCCACAAAACAACAGAAGCCCCTAAGAGTACAGCTTTGCTCATTTCAACTGTGCTATCATTTTAAGGGATAATAAAAACTGTTAACATAATTATCCTAGGGGTGGGATAAAATCATGCGAATACCACCAGTAAGTAACAACCTTTTATGGGTCACTGAGATGATTTATAATCTTAAAGCTTCAGATTTTAGCCTTATCTGCATCTGAAAACGAAAGAGTAATTAAATCCATACTCAAAAGACTCAGTGATTAATTTCCACCTCACTGCTTGCAAAAATTAAAATGTTAAAAGTCATCTTCACAGTGGGGCTCATACCTGGATACTGGCGAATGGTGGACACAGAGCTGGTGATTGGGGTGTAGGTGTGAGCAGCCAGTGGGTATGCAGAAGGTGGGTACGTTGGCAGAAAGTACTGGAACTGAACAGGAACAGATGGTCTACAGATGAAACACAGACAATATGAACTCAAACGGTCTATTTTCCTATTCACCTTCAGATGATCCTACCCCCATCATCCTCCTCCTCACACTTTTAACCACCACCCAACATTTCCCAAATTGTGTCCCAAACATTATACCACAGGACACAGACTTGGAGAGAGTAATATTTAAAAAAATAAATGGATACTATACGTAATTACATCAATAAATGTGAAAAAATATACAGAATAATAATTATCAAAACGGACTCAAAAAAACCCAGTAATCGGGGGTGGGGTATGGCTCAGCGGTAGAGCGTGTGCTTAGCATGCACAAGGTCCTGGGTTCAATCCCCAGTGCCTCCATTTTAAAAAAAATTTAATAAGTAAATCTAATTAACACCCCCCCAATAAAAATTTAAAAAAAAACTCAGTAATCAAAAGTTTTCCCTGTTCAATTCCACATGAAAGACTCTAAGCTCAGATTGCTTTTACTGGTTAATTTTATCAAACATATAGACAACAGATAATCCCAAACTTACACAAATTGATTCAGAGACCAGAAAAATGAGAAAAGAGATCTAACTTATTTTTTGAACTTAACATAGCCTTAATACCAAAACTGGACAAGGAGTGTGAGATAAGATTATAAACAAATCTCACTTTCTACATCAACACAAAAATTCCTAAATAAATTGAATTAAGTACAATATCAAATTAAATACATCATGATCAAGTAAGATTTCTCACAGGAGGATAGGAATGCTTCAATATCAGAATTTCTATTAATGTTTTATATCACAGTAAAAAATTAAGAGAACAATTGTTGGAAACTTTACGAAAGATATACCAAAAAAGGAACAGCGTTCAATACTTATTCGTGATATACATGCCTAAGAAAGCAGAAATAGAAACAAACTTTGTTCCTCACACTGGAAATCATATCTACCAAAACCTGTAATGCAATTTCAGAAGAACTTCCATCAGGTCGAGAAGAAGACCAGGATGCTCGCCATCTCTGCTCTATTCAGCACCATATCAGAAGCTCTAGCCAACTGTTAGAAAAACACAGGTATACAAAACGGAAATGGAAAAACTCCCTTATCCCTCAAAAAAACTGTCTTTATTTGCAGACATCCACATAGGAGAGCCAAGAGAATCTATAAACTTTCAGAGCTAACAGGCAGCTAAAGTGGGTGGACACACGGCCAGTATACTGAAACTTACTAAGCATTTCTATGTACAATAATAATCAAACAAGAGTACATATAATGATTAAATTCTGAAATCACTTCAAGTGCACTTCACCAGGTTCTCACTGGAAGAAGGGAGATACAAATCTGGAATGGGGGCAGGTAAGGAGGCTGAACCAGAAGCACCAGAATGTACTGGTTTTTAAAATGCTATGTCCCTCCTACCTCTGCCTGCTGGAAGGGCCAGGAGAAAGGACAATCCAGTAACAACACAGAGCTAACACCTAGACTGTGGCTTCTAAACGATGAGAAGGAGCCAGTGCTCCTTAAAGGGATGGCAGGTTCCAGGGCTCAGACAGACCAAGTGTAGGGGGAGCCGCCAGTACCTCACTGTGCTGAGGAGGCAGGACGGGCGAGAACGACCAGGGCACAGCAGACCCACAGGAAGGGTATGAAAGGGCTCCCAGAGACTAACCTGGAGACGATCTGAGCACCTAAACAGATGACAGTCATGGAGTAAAGGAAACCAAATCCATGAGCTCATGCTGATTTTAAAAAATAAAACACACAACACAGTAAATGAATGGGGACAGAGATGAGTAAATTTCTTTACTTCGGAATGCCAACGGATAAATGTGGAAGTGATGGAAAAAGTCACCATGTTGCAACCATCGGATTGCAACAAGCATCAACTGATTCAGCCAAGAATCATCCACAGATGCTAAAACCACTGAGTGAAAGCTTACGGGGGAGAGGATATTAATAGTCTTCAGGTAGGTCGGCACAGATTAGTTACTTACAAAGGAGGATGCACCTTTACAGTAGAAAAATCCGGCAGACGTCACCCTCACTAAGTAAGGAATGTTGACACTGGAACAACGTGAGCTCTCCGATGTGGCACCAGTGAGACCACCACCACACCTGAGTGGTACTTGCTCCCAAAATGCACAGCCTGCATCTAACTGCGAGGACCAATCTGACAGGCCCAAACTGAAGAATATTCTACAAAAACAACCAGCCGATCTGTACTCCTCAAAAATGTCAACGTGTGAAACAGAACGGAAAGTTAAAGGATTGTTTCAGATACCCATACTGTGGTTACATAAAGAACAGCTTTGCTCTCTGGAGGTGAAAATGGAAATACTTAGGGATGAAGGGTCACGATGCCGCCACCCTTACTCTCAGAGTAAATCAACCAGAAATACGCAAATCAAACAACTGGATACTAGGAGAAGACCCGTGTCAAGGAGAATGACGGAATAAATACAGCACATTTTCATAAAACTGAAATGGAAATGACAAAGTACTACCTTCAGGGGCAAATTCGAAAATAAGTAAATATATGCCGTATTTGTAGGACAATGTATTTTACTGAAAAATCAGGACAACGTGACACAATGGGACACATTCCTTCCTACCTATTGTCACTTCGGGTTTCCATGGCCACGGGATTCGGAGAGGCTCGATGGCCTGAAATGGGAATCAGGCTACTCCTCTCTGCAGGGTAATCGGGTTGGATCCGAGGAGAAGTGTGTGTGATCTGCTGAGGCACCACCTTAGCTACAAAGAGGAGAAAGAATCCAGTTACGTTACTCTCACGCGCCTTCACTGGTGCGCCGACGCATTCCTAGACAGCAACCGTCTTAAGAAGGTAAACGGTAATAAGAAGCCTGCATTCTTAGTTTTCATTAAGATGAAAAATGAAAGATGAGGATACATGATTCAACAGAATTATTTCAATGTAATAATCCACTGATACAACCATTCTGTTATTTGTCGAAGCAGGGTTCATTTCAACATGAGGACTTCAACAAAAGTATCAGCCACCAGGTCCCTTTCCCCTGACCTGGCTTCTTGGAGACCTTTTTTAATTAATTTTTTTATTTTCTTCTTAAAAAAAAATTATTTATTTCTTTTGGGGAGAGGAGACTTTTTTTCCTTTTTTTTTTTTTAAAGGGGGGAGGTAATTAGGTTTATTCATTTAGTTATGTTTGGAGGAGGTACTTGGAGATCGTTTGTTTAAAAAGGAGAAAACTTAAAAAAAAAATCCAACAAAAATTTGAATATAGAAACAGCAAACACCTTAGACTCTACACCAGCGCACACACCTGGTAATATGAAGCTAATGAGATCATTTCCATTTCCAAGTCACAGTTTCCTCGTCCGTGAGGAGGCCTTCTCTAGATAGTTGCTTAATTTCTAAAGTCTCCCGAAATGTCCTGTGATTCTGCATAATTTACTTTGTGGCAAAATTAAACTGACCATGGTTTTCAAGTTTAATCTGAGGTTCAAAGCTGGCTCTCCTCTACAATTTGCAGTCAAATCTTGTTTACAAGGTAGAGCTGAACCCTTCTTACTGATCTGTGTGTTAACGCTGTGACTGGGAACCTGAAAAGGAGAGCTGTGACCTCAGAAGACAGAGGGACAGCTGCCATGTAGGTAAAGACCACTGACATGAGAGACTAGACTGATGGCAACCCATCGCCAAAGCGCAGTGCACTGCACACCGGCAGGCAGGCAGCACACACCCCAACAACGCCCAGCGGCTTCCTGGGGGAGCCGCTGAAGTTTCTGCAGGATGAGGGGTGGGATGCCAGGTCGGCTACTGAGGATGGCACCTCCTGGCTCACACAGAGAGAAGCCGGCATGACATTTCCCATCAGCGGGAAGCAGAGAGGGTGCTGACTAAAAAGCAACTTAAGTCTTGGTTTTTCACTGAAAAAGCCCGTAAAAGGTAGAAGAAAACAGTGGGAATGTGCTGTCATCTGACAGAGTAGCTGAACAGAGGTTGGTGACCACACACGCTTTTTTTTCCAGTTAAAAAAGCCATTAATAGGGAGGGTAGAGCTCGGTGGTAGAGTGTGTGCTTAGCATGCACAAGGACCTGGGTTCAATCCCCAGTACTTCTATTAAAAAAAAGTACTACTAATAAATAAATAAACCTAACTGCCTTCCCCCACTGAAAAGAATAATACTGTTTTAAAAAAAAGCCATTTATCCTCAATTATTAGGGAAAAAAACTTTACAAAAACATAATGCAGAAATCATAAGTTAGGGCTATTTCCAAAGATAATCCCTGGTTTCTGAAGGCTGTGATCATCTGACTCTGCTTTTTCTATTCTGAGACCACCATCTTGTGTGGAGAAAACGAGGATGGTATTCTGCTGCGGAGGGGCACTCACTGCAGGTGAAAACCCTACGCTCGTGGTTAATCAGGTTTTTCCCCTTTAATTCTATTACATTCCTATTAATAACAAGGAATTAATAACATTTCTATTAATAACAAGGAATCGATAACATTCCTATTAATAACAATGGCTGAATTTAAAATTTTATCTCAGCTGGAGAAAGCAAGTGACACTTAGAAAAAGCCACTGAGGTGATTTTAATGTATCTCTTATAGCCCCATCTTGAAAAATCAGTGCTCTGGACTTAATATCAGGTTTCCCTTCTCAACTGAGGTACTTTTGTACAGGAAATCCTCTTATGGTGTAATAAATATTTGGGATACTATCAAAGAGGAAGACAAAACTAGAGCATAAACCTGCCGGAACTTAGACAAAACCAATCACATTAACTGGCAGATGTTATATCTGAACAACCCTGACAGATGATTTTCGTGTCTACAATTTAGGGAATGGTTAAAACTCAAAGGTAAAAGAGCTGGGGAGACACAGAGTACAGCAGCACAGTAACTCACGGAAGGCAAAAAGCTGGCAGTTTAAGCCAAATGAATGAACACTGTCTGCTGGTGCTTTTTGTGAGGTTATTTCACAGTGTTACTCTGAGGAAGACAGTGACATTAACAAGAACTAATCTCTGAGTAATTCTTCACAGAGAGAGTTCCAGACAAAACCAGAGAGCCCCTGTAGGGTACACGGCCCCTCTTTACTGGTCTGATTTTCTTAGGAGCTATAGATTCCCTGGTGAGACTCTGGACTATAAAAATGAACAGAACAACCATGGCTCTGACTTTACAGCACTGAGGGGAATGGATGACACTGCAAAGTACAGCCAGAAAATGGTCTGAAATGACAACACAGAACGATCAATGATCTTTTTCAAGAAAAGCACATCAATGCTGAAACCACACACACACACAGTAACTTCACAGATGCGAAACTGAATTCAGACGGTGTGAGAGAAGTCTGCTAAAAGCCTTAGCTGGGGCTTAGTATCAACTTAAGGGCTGGAATGGCCCAGTGATCTGAAAGAGAATAAGGGTGTCCTGGGTCCTAACATTCTTCTGGAAAAGTGTCCTGCAAGTTTGCTAAGGGGGTGGTGATGCTGCAGCCCATCTCCCAGGCAGAGGAAGCAAGGCGGGGAGGGACCCCCAATGCTGGGACTCGGCCAGCAGGGGAGTCGCACTTCTGTGTCTGGCCATCAGATTTCTGACAGTTAAGGGTGACAACGTATCCTCACTTCTACATGTGCAGTCTACTGAAAATACGGTGGCTGCCCCACATCTCTGGGAGTGAAGAACAGGCAGATAGCACACTAACAGAACCAAGGCACAGGTAACATGAGAAACTAAAACCTGTGACTTGAGGTTACAGAGGGAAGCATTCTGCCTCACAGCCAGTCTCTGCTGTGACAGGAGCCAGCAGCTCCCAGGTAGGTGAGGGCAACCTGCGGGCCAGACCCTGCCCACGCCTGCTTCTACTTGAGCTAACGACGGGTTCACGCTTTCAAATGGTTGAGGGAAAAACTCAAGAGAATATTTTGTGATACATGAAAATTATATGAAATTCACCCTATCATCCAGCAAACACACTCCTGAGCATATACCTGAAGGAAACTCTAATTCAAAAAGATACATGCACTTCAATGTTCACAGCAGCACTATTTACAATAGCCAAGACATGGAAGTAACCTAAATGTCCATTGACAGATGACTGGATAAAGAAGATGTGGTATATAAACACAGTGGAATGCTACTCAGCCATAAAAAGGGATAAAATAATGCCATTTGCAGCAACATGGATGGACCTGGAGAACATCATTCTAAGTGAAGTGGGCCATAAAGAGAAAGAAAAATACTGTATGATAGCACTTATTTGTGGAATCTAAAAAAGAGAGACACAAATCAACCTATTTACAAAAACAGAAACAGACACACAGACATAGAAAACAAACTTACGGTTACCAGAGGGGGAAGGGGGTAGGGAGGGATGTTGGGAATTTGGGATCTGCTGATATACACTACTATATATAAAATAGATAAACAGCAAGTTTCTACCATATAGCACAACAAACTATATTTAATGCCTTGTAATGGCCTATAATGAAAACAAATACAAAAAATATATACGTGTATAAATAAATCACTATGCTGTACAACAGAAATTAACATATTATAAATCGACCATACTTCAGTTAAAAAATAATAAAACTGAAAAGCTTTTTAAGAAGGAATTACATGAAATTCAAATTTCTGTGTCCGTAAAAGTCTTACTGGAACCCAGCCAGGCCCATCTGGTTACGTATCGCCCAGAGCTGAGTGGCTGGGGCACAGGCCCACGAGGCCTGTAGACCCTACAGCGCGTACTACCTGGCCCGACGGGAAAAGCTTGCCAATCCCTGCTCTTGGTCATTTACAGTTTGCCTGCCAGAAACTCTTCAAAGAGTTTGTCATTTCAAAGAATTTTTAATACAGACATTTAAAAGGGGAATAAGCAAAGCCTAGAAGGAATTTTAGGATGGTTGTGAAGTATCTTGGATGGCACTCAAATCAGAGCCTCAGGTTTACACTCCTTCCCTCGTTGCATTCCTTCTGAGATTTTTCCTGAACGATCGATCTATCAGGGAACAAGCTCTCTTCATTCCAGTCCTCGGATTCTTTATCACGTCTCATGCTGCTCTTGTAAAGTCAACTTACTTTTCTTAAAGGTCCACAGAGAAGAGGTAAAGTTTGATAAGGAAGTCAAAAGTGCCATTAAAATAGCTTACTTTGAGCTCTCCAAGATTATCTTCTCTTCCTCCCCCTATCGTCAAAATGCTGAATCTGTATATCAAATACTATTGCAAGTTGGAGGCAGTATTGCTTTGCAAATCAACAATAAAAATCGATACTGGCCACCTAAGTGTACCCCCAGTCAAGGGGGCTGAAATATTCCTCATAAGCCTCTGTCTGCAGGCTGCACTTACCGACCGGGATGTTTGACGTGGTCACGGCAGTAGCATGGGATGAGTGTGAGGGCATTGTCATGGTAACGATGGTACTCGTGGGAGCTTGTGTGTGTGACACAGATCCTGGAACGAGAGAGAGGGAAAGTCTTCAACAGTGGCCTCTCTGCACACATTATGGATGCTCCCAAACCCGAGAAAAGCTCTTGGGAAGAGCTACGAGAATTTTTCTAGGCTAATTCTCATTCTCTGACTGAAGCTGAGAAACGAAAAATTAACCCAGGATTTCCGGCTCCTTCCTCCCCGGCAGGTGGCGCAGGGCTGCCCGCTGACTTACCGGCCGTGGTGGCTGAAGGAATCGTGTTGGTCGCCAAAATAGGTGCCACTGTCGCTGCAGCCACTGGGGTGCCAGTACTGAAGATGGTTTTCTGCGGGGAAACACCCCACAACAGAATTACCAACGAGAACATTTCCCACTGAATCTAGTTGAAAAGCAATCGCGCTTTCGATCAGAACAAGTTTTGCCCGATCCTGCCTTTGCCCCGGGGCAGACAGGCAGTGCCCCACCTCTGGTTTACCTGGGCCATGGTATGAAGCTGCTGTTTTGGCGTCCCCAGAGCAGGGTGAGAAGGCAGTGTGATTCTTGTGGTCACGTCCCGAGACTGGGCAGGACGCTGAATACTAATTGCTGCAGACGGTGGGTGCTGGATAGACAGAGTGGGCCGACTGGAAAGACAGAAAAGACACTACGATTTATACCGTGTCTCCAGACGCAGCGCAGGCAGTCCAGGCCACTGGCTACCTGGTGCTGGATCACAGTCATGGGGTTTTATCTATTCACACATCTGTGAAGCCCGCAGGTGAACCAAGGAAGGAAACGGCCTGCTGGGTTTCTCCCAGAAACTGCCAGAAGCTTCATTTTAAAAGTGATTAGAAAAAAAAAAGGACACTACGAACTCATCTACAAAACAGAAACAGACTCCTAGACATAGTGAACTATCTAATGGTTACGGGGGAAAGGGGATGGGAAGGGATAAATTCAGCAGTATGAGATTTACAAATGTTCACCACTATATATAAAAATAGATTTAAAAAAAGTCTCTTCTGTATAGCACAGGGAACTATGTTCAGTGTCTTGTAATAACCTTTAATAAAAAAAAAGAAAACGAATACATGTATGTATATGGATGACTGGGATGTTGTGCTGTACACCAGAAACTAACACATTGTAACTGACCGTATTTCAAAAAAAATAGGATGAAGGTGTTCCTTGAACTGAATAAAGAAACCCTTAGTCATTCTCAGGGTCCTTGATACAATTAACCAGCACCCTCTGACAATCTTGAGTTAAGCCTTATTATGACAAACACATCACTCTGTGGACCAAGCTGGAGATATACACCAAGGTTCTAACTGTTACAAGGGAAGATGACAGACATCCTTGATTCACAGCTTAACCTGTGACCCTTGAAGCACTGACCTCCATCCCCCAATTCATATCATACCTTACTACATGATAAAAAGTCACATTTATGATTGCCTAATAATTGGAAGGGATCTCAACCCAGACGGCATGTCAGCTTACCTGGTAGCAAGCTACTGAAATTGCCAAAATGGCAAGAAAACTTGACAGTACGTGGAAGTAGACATCTCAAGTCAGAGCCATGAACATGGGCTATTTAATAAATGATGTTGTAAAGACTACATGGCCATTTGGAAAACAATAAAATTGGATCCATAATTCACATGGTACACCAGGATAAATAAGAAAATGATGAAAGACTTAGTGGAAAATTAAAAAGTATATAAGGAAAAGAAAACTCTTTTATAACCTTGAAGTGCAGGAGAGCTTTCTAACAATTAAAAGCTCTCAAAATCCAAAAGCTATAAAAGATCAATAAATTTGACTCTATGAACAAAGAAGCAAAACTCCTAATACAGCAAAATAAACTACAAGAAGAGTAAAAAGACTCAGAGATGAAAGTGTAATCTTAACATACTAAGAGCTCTTAGAAATCAATGAGAAAAATAGCAACCCAATTAAAAAAAACAAACCAAAAAACAGGCCAAGGATATGAATAACTAGTTTGCTAAAAACAAAACACAAATGGCCCCTTAACAAAAGAAAAAGATTCTAAGTCTCACTCATAGGAAGAGAAAAGCCATTTAAGATACACTGAGAAGGTGGTGGGGGGTATAGCTCAGTGGTAGAGTGTATGCTTAGCAGGCACGAGGTCCTGGGTTCAATCCCCAGTACCTCCACTAAGTAAATAAACCTAATCCCCCCCCAACAAAAACCAAACTAAAAATAAATTAATATAATATATCACAAAATACATGGAGATATCATCGTTCACCTATCAGATTGGCAAAAATAAAAAAAACTGACAGTGTCCTCTGTTGTTCCAGTTGTACAGAGACAAGCATTTTTAAACATTCTGGACGGAGTGTAAATTGGTATGAACCCCATGGAAGGTAATAAGACACAGGTAATAAATTACACCCATGTATACCCTCTGATCACTTTGGGGACTTTATCCTACAGATATTCTTGCACACGTGCATACTGACGTTAAGTATAAAGTTATTCACCGCAATACTGTTTATGATAGTGAAGTCAAATCCGTTCATACAAAGGATCAGCGCACTGCTACTAAAGGAATGATGAAGCTCCAAGTACTGAAATGGAAAGCTTTCAATGTGTGTTGTTACACGAAAAAAACCAAAGGAGAACATGTGAATTATGAGACTAACACGCTGCTGGCTGCGCTGAGAGGCAGCTTAGGAATACATGAATTAAACAATCTTTTGGGTAAAAAGGATAAAAATGAAGAGCTGCATTTGAATGTGCCTGTATTTAAGACACATTGGAAGGATACCCTGAAAGCTACTAACATGCTACTTTAGAAAGACAAAGAACAGAGGCCTTGGTAGCCGGCAGATAAAGTGATACTCCCTACTGTCTATATTTTTACGGTTTTCTACTTTGGAACCATGTGAATATAGATTAGGAAGAAGAAAACATGAAAAGTTGAGCTGCACAGGTGAAACGTGATTGGGACTCCACGTAACCAAACTAAGCAACGGTTTCCTCTCTCAAAATGTTTTAAAATCCGACCTGCTGGGATCTCTGTGAATAAAGTTTATAAACTGAATAGAGGATGGTTTTCTCCCTACAGAAAGAGAACCAAGCAGCTTCTCATTCAAGGTCAAAGGCAAGCTGAGAGCCTGGCCACAGGTGCAGCGGTGACGCGTGGGGGAACTCACGGAGGAGAGAGCCTACGACTGGAGCCTGGGTTGTGAATAGTTGATCATACAGGTCACCAAGTACAGCGCTGTGAAAGCCACCCACTCCCAGGACTTACAGCGAACAACATTCAGAGAGACACATGGAAACTTAATTAAAATGACAACATATTTGAGGATGGCTGAATCTAGTTACGGGAACAATTCTGAAGATACCTGTAGCAAAAAAGAGTGCCAACAGAATCCTCACAAAAGGATCTCCTAAATTCAAACTTCAACGTGCTCATATTTTAAGAGGTCCCGCTCATCCAAGAATATACCCCCAAAAGAATATTTCTTAAGTATTTAGGTACATTAAATGTTCCTAAAAGAACAGTCTTTGATTTTCATTTACTCTAATGAAAAGTAACAATATTTACATAATGACTTACATGTCAGGCATGATTTAAGTGCTTTATATATTAGTACTGATACACATATTTAAATACTAAGGTGCTTTTACACATTAATATTTACATATAGAGGTAGGCAATATTACCATTTCCTAGGTGAGGAAACTGAGACATTCACTCTTTGGCCTATCACTTGCACGTCCAGGAATACACCCTGACAGTACACAATCACTAACATGCAACAGCCTATGCCAAAAGGTCCATCAGTACACCCATAAGCTAGGGTACAATGCGGCCAAAAAAAAAAAGAGTAAGATAGATATTTCCATGCACGGATGATCTGGAGTCATCTCCAGAATATACTGTTAAGAGAAAAATGCAAAGTGTGACACAAATACAGAAATATGATATACTGTCTTTTCCGTGTGAAAGGAGCAGAAACAAGGGAAGTGTGTTTATCTGTGTGTACACTTATTCTCATAAAAAGAAATCCTTAGGGGGACTCCTAAGAGGCCAAGTCAGAGAGGAGTAACCTGGTGACCTACTAGGAGCAGATGGCCACTTGGAAGGGGACGGGGATATTCGTGAGTCATCTTTTTATAAAGCTTTGGATTTTGAACCAAATCAGTCATTTACATATTTTACAAAATAAAATCAAAAAGCAAATTCTAAAATTAGAAACAAATGTAAACAAATAATCCTAACTGTATGCTAAACGACAATAAACACCCACTGGAAAGAACCAGAAAAGTATTAACAGGCTACGAAGAAAGCCGAGGAGCAAGAATATTGGAAGCTGGTACCCAAGGGACAGGGATGAGAGCGATGACAGCTCCTCACTGTGCACCTTTTTACACATTGCTATTCTGGAAGCAGGTGAATATATGTTAGGAAAAAGAAAATGTTACTGCATACTCCACAGAGGAAAGAATCACTTCAAGTGACTTTTGGACACATTCCCTCTGCTTAGTGGGATCTAGTCTGAGGACAAAAACCCAAGTAGTTACATTAATGTCTTTGGAAAATGAGGTTTTCAGTATAAGAGAAAAAGATGCACAAATATAAAATCTAAGAAAAAATGTGTAGTGTTAAACTTCATTTGGAAGTATCAGTACGAAATATGACTATCTTTACATACTGACTACCTCTGTCCACAGAAAGGGCCCCAAAGCAGTGATAACCCAGAAGCAAGTCTACTCCTAGTACCTAGATCTTGGGTTCTAAATATCATCCTCCACTGAAAGGAATCAAGGATTCTTAGAGAAATGGCTGATTTCAAGACCAGAGAAGCAGAGGAAGTAAAAGGAAGCCTGATTCACCATGTATTAGAAAGGATGTACTTAAAGACTTTATAGGACTCATCAAAAGGACCCTTGAGCCAGTTCAAAGGGGTTTTCATGAGCCAAATTTAGGGCAACTTAAAGAAAAAGAAAGGGATGTGGATTAATACACATGGAATAAAAAAATCCCTGAGTACACAGTAGCAACTCCTGCCATCCCCCTTCCCCACAAAAAAGATCAGCTGGCTGGAAAGTGCTCCCAGATCTGTTGTCTTAATCACTATACTATTTCTCCCAGTGATCGGTTTTTGTAATGGCCTCATGTAAAGGTGACTCTAGGGCTAGAGACCCAATTTAGAGACTTGACAGATACAGAAAATAGGGGTTCTCTAACAACAGGTGGACTCATGACCATCCTCCAGTATTCATTTGGGTCCTCGTCTGACTTTGTAAACTGACTATAACTCAATAAAATTAAACAAACAAACAAACAACAAACCAGGGGGAGATGGCAGTAAAGTGGAACCTGGACCCTGACCAGTTCCAAGATCCAAGAAGTAAGGCATGAATTAGGAATCACAGAGACACAGGTAAGGCCCACATGGGAAACGCTGTATGGTGAACCCAGGAAGAGAAACTGCCATTTGAGCAGTGTATGCATCTTCACCGGCAGGAGAGACATAGCCACCAAGAAACCTCAAAACCAGGATCCTGAGTCATTAGGAAAATTTCTCCTAACCCAGCATATAGCTCAGCCTCCAATTATAATTACAATCAGTTGACCCAGAATAAATCCAATTCATTGAAAGATGAGGACTCAAAAAGGAACTAGAACAGGATCTATTTAAAGAAGCTACAATAAAAAGGTGGACAGAAATGAGGAAGTTCACTATAAATGCTCCTACTAAGAGGAAATGGTGCCATGAATTAAGAAACTTAATGACACAACTGCTTCCACAAAATGAAAACACAAAGCAAAGATGTCAGAGCTCATTGCCAAGTGATGACAAGAAAACAAAAGAAGGCAAAATCAATGGGCAGAGCTCAAGAGAGAAACAAAAGAAAAACCCATCTGTTTCAGGAATGAAGGCAAAGCTGAAAGATGAACATGAGGCACAGTGCTGAAAACACTGTCAGGGACAGAGAAAATCATGAAAAATATAAGCAGAGCCAAAAGGGGAAAAAAATCGTTTAAAAGGATTTAGATAAGGAATCATGCAAAAAGATCCAACAAACACATTATTGGCTCCCTGCCAACAGAATGGAAAAGAATGAGTATATAAAGATACTACTCAAGAAAATTTTTCATAGTTTTGTGCTACAGATTAAAAAGGCACGTCAAGTTCCAGAACAAACTGATACACATTGATCACTATGAAACACATCCTAGTAAAGTTGCTGAAATTCAAAGATAAACAATCTTAAGCAATCAGGCAAAAATATCTAGGTCTTTTTAAGAGGTTAAAAAAAAAATCAGGCTAGACTCAGACTACTGCACAGCATTATCCAGTTCTAGAAAGCAGAGGAAAAATACTTATAAAGTACTCATGGAAAGATTACAGAAACCAAAAAAATTCTGTTAGCCAAACTACTGCTTAAATATAAGAATATCTGAGAAATGAGTCAGAGCATGCAAAACCTCAAAATATTGGTTCCATCAGCCCTTGACGAAAGTAAGAGAATAAATTTCATTTACCTAAGTGATGACAAAAAAACCACCACCACCAAAGAACTGGCAGACAGGATTGAATCCATTTAACAGAAGGAGTAAGATGTACCACTTAAATATTTTGGAATGTTCTATCTTCTTCTATGCCTTGAATCAATTTAATTATTGGTTTATCTGGTCTTTGAGAGCTTTGCAGAATTTAGTGAAACTGGCTGGGCCTGATGCTTTTCTGAGAGATAGTGCTTTGAAATTTTTTTCTATTTTTTTCTATGGAAATTGGTCCATTTAAACTTTCTATCCCTAGAATTTAAAGGGAGTTAGAGGTTAGGAATTTATCATTAGAGATACTGCAAATAGAAAAATCATCTGATCATTAGGGTTTTTGTCTGTTTAATTCCCTAGTGTATTTCTAGGGCCTAGAGCAGTGACTGGCACGTAAGAGGCACATAGTGAGTATCTGTTGTAGGTGTGAATGCTGAAAACATCCGACAAAATTTAATACCCATTTTTTTGTATATGTGCTGCTGAAGTGAGCGCTAATACCCATTTTTTAAATTAAAAACTCAATACACTAGAAAAGACAGATAACTCAACAACATGGTTTAAAAAAGTCTAACCCTAGTTTTCACTGTATACACATTTATACCTTTTGAATTTCATCCTGCCATCTGAATAAATTAGTTTTTTAAAGGCAATACAAAGTTAACATGAGTAACACATAGTCTATTTTATGTTAGGTAGTTGGGTCTCTTTGTGCCTCAGGTGATATATCAATGACCAAACAGTAAAACGTTCTCATTTTATTAAAGAGGGGACTAAGGGTCAGGGAAGGTAATCAACTTGCCTAATGTCACACAGCTAGTCAATGACAGAGCTGGGGGAAAGTTAAGTCCCAGGCACTATTCTTCATTTCAATGTTACCTTCTTCAGAGTTCTTTCTGTTCTAGGCCCTCTTCCTAGTTGGACTCAGATCCCTAAAGCTTTACCAGTAGCCCACAGGCTGATGACTTCATAACTCCTTGTCTTAGGCACAGACAGCCTTCAACCACCTATTGACAACAGCCTTCTGACTGTTCCACAGATAAACTCAGCATCCCAAGACTCAGCCTTCTCTCTAAAACCTGCTTTCTCTCCCTTGTTCCCTTTCCATTTACTCGGTCAGGCAAGGAAGAAACCAAGGAGGCACCTCTGGACTGCTTCCAACTGGCCATCAGGTCTTCTGGGTGGTCTGTGACAGCTCTGTTCCCCATGCCCACTACCCCTTTTGTTCAATGAATCCCTTCTTGTTTAAGTGTAAAGGCTCCTTCCCTGGCAGCCACACAACCGATGGCAAGAATCAAGGACCACTGGACCTCTGTACGCTCCTGACAAGACTCGTGTCCCACTGCCCTCCCCCAGTTTCACAGCTTCACCTCCACAACATGCTTGGGGAGCATGAGGACAAATACCGCCATGTCCTCAACTGTGACTGTGTCACCCCCAAGGAGCATCAGAGACCATCCCTCATCGACCGGATGTCATTCCTGTGCAGCTCTGTAATCTCTTAACTGTACTATCCTCACTTGTCAAACACCCAACCTTTCCACTATACCCTCTGGACTTACAATTCACCTTCAGCAAAATCCCCAATAACTTCAACCTCTGCGGACACACCCTCTACCCTCCCGCCCTAAGGAACTATGGTCCTCCCGTGAGAACATGGCTTCCCTCCCAATGGGAGCCCTGTTCTCCCTGAAGCTCTTCCCCATCCAGACTGTTTTCCTAAATTATCTCTCCAGAATTCTTCCATGGACTCCAGACTCTTATTAACCTATCTCTATGGCTCCATGTGAGTGCTCCAAGGGCAGCACAACCTTAAAATATCGAAAACCAAAGTTTGGGATTCCCCCCCATTCTCCAACTCACATGAACGCAACTCCACCCTCCCTGCTGCACAGGCCGACGAGCGTGGGCATAATTCGACTTTCCTCGTGCTCTCCTAGTCCCATGTGTAAGTCCCCAGAATCCTGACAGTCTGTACAATCCTGTTCAGAATCTAACCGTGTCCTTCCACCCTCAATAATCGTCTCTCCTGGACTCCTGCCATAACCCTTCTAAACAATCTGTTTCCAACTTTGCCTACTCTCTCCAGCCCGGTGGCTGATCCAACACTTCAGATCACAACACTGCTCTGAGAACTGACTTCCCGCTGCACCCCAGCACAGTCCAAATCCTTGGAGTGGGTCCTAAGGCCCTTACTGGGGCCCTGTTACCTCCTAAGATAATCTCTGGCCACTCTCCTACCATTAGCCTCTTGTGGCTCCCTGACACGGTAAACACACTGCTGCCTCAGGGCCTTTGCACTTACCATTCTCACTGTCTAGGACACTCACATCTTAGACAGCCCTATGGTTCAGCTCACCATTCAGTGTTCTGCTTGAATGTATTCTTATCAACAAAGCCCTCCCTGATCACTTTATATGGACTAGTAAGCCCCCTGTACTGCCTACAGTGTCACCCCAAATCCCATTCACCCTAGTTGTTCCCCAAAGCCCTTTTTGCCACCTAAAAAATCTATTTTTTAATGTATGTCTCCAGTCCCTAAAAATAGAAACTCTTTGAGGGCAGACATTTCTTTTTGTTTACTGTGTTTTCCTCAGTATGCAGAACATTACGAAGCACTCAATAAATATTTAGTGAGTTAAGTAAAGGAAAGAAGGAAAGTAAGAAGGGCGAGATGAAGGGAGGAGGGGGGGACAGCTTGATCTTAGACCCCCAGATATACCTCAGTGCCGAGTCGGCAGCATGTGCGGCTGTTGTAGTGATGACAGGAGACTGAGCTCTGGTGGCTGACACGGTTGCTACCACAGCAGGAGGGATGGTATTGGACGTGGTCACAGGTGGCCGAGACTACAAGAGAAAAAAAAAATTTCATTTAAAATGAAAAGCAAAATCCAGTATGTCAAACACTAAAAGTCTAATCTGGGCCTCTAAATAAGCATGTTTATGTCCAAATGAAAATAAATTCTCACTGTCCTGATGAAGTTCTCTTTTTAAATAGGTGGTTATAAGACCAAGAGTCAGAAGCATCAACAAAATCCAGTTCTGGTTGGACAGGACACCAGCCCCTCCTTTCCAAATAAGACCAGATTCAAAATTCTGTCCTACTTTTAGTACAAACTGGAAGCTGGCCCATCAGACTCAGTTCCCAGAGAACTGCTGCTGGTCCCAGAGTAGATGTCTTTCATTGCTACACCACCCAGCGCTTCCCACAGAGGGCCCAACAGCACTGACAGAGCCGTTGGTTCTCAGGGCATCTAAGTGCACAAAAGGAAAACGCGTGGTACTGGTCTTCTTTCCCAGCAGACGATGCCCGGTGCCCAGACACCTTCTAGATGTTTCCATATAGATGCACTTATCACTCCACCCGTGTGCCCCACCTTCACCTGCCAAACCAGTTCCACACTGGGCTTCACCTGCTCATCCGCTGCCCACTCCTCCTATCACCAGAGCTCTCCTGTGCAGCCCCTCCTTCCTGATCCCAACACGGGCAGTTATCTTGGCAGACTCTGCCCATCCTCCATCTGTTTCTCACCTCCAGGCCTCCTCCCACCACGCAGCTGGTCCAGTCTGCTGTCTCATACCAGGACTGCAGCTCTGTCTCCCTCACTTGTGAGCTGTGCACCCAGGGTCTCCTCGCTCTCCAGTCCTTCCTACAGATCATTACTCTCCGGGGCCCTATGGTCTCAGATGTGTTGGTAGCCAGCAAGCTCTTCTGCTTTAAATTTGACAGCTCCAGGCTAGACATGTAGAACCAGTGTCCTACTCAGCCCTCTTCCTTACTATCTGAAATCCAGCCATTTCACACATCCTACCAGCCTGATCCACAAAGGCATCTGAACTTCCGCCTTCTGTATGTAACTTGGCTAGATTAATCTTTCAAAGAAACTTTTTGATCATATATTCACTATACTAAAAAAACACAGAGTGGCTCTCTGCTGTGTACATAATCAGTTTATACTCAGTATCTTAGCATTCCAAATGCAGAGACACTACAGCATCACCTGGTAATACATTTATGGCAAGGGTCATAGATTTCCTCGAAAACAAGTTGAAAGGCATGGACTGAACTCCTCAAAAAGCATACGTATGTGCATAAAAATGTGCCTAAATGTTTCAGGGCTCGCATACACCATCCAAATGAGAATCCCTTCATTCTGACTAGCCTGCACCCAACATTGTGGACAACCATCCCTCTCGTCCTTGCACTGTTCACTGCTCATGCACTGCCCCCACCACTTCCTCTTCCCTTCTCTGAATCCCCACGGCCATACCCATCCCAACCAGAAGCCTTGCCTTGCTACCTCTCTCCTAAATTCCTACTGTGATCACACGACATTGTATATGACTCAACCTTCTCTACCCCTTGGCAACTAGATGGAAAGTCACTTGAGGTCAAAGGACTCGCAGGGTGCCTAGCAGAGTGGATAACTTGGAGTAGGCCCTGAATCCTGGCTGGCCGGCTACCCACAGCTGCGACGTGCCTGGATCGGTTGGTGGATGATGTGCTGGACCGCCGGTTGTGCCGTGGCTGCATTTGGCAACTGGGAAGTTGGCCTCAGGACCGTGGTTACTTTCGAACTGGACATCACAGCAGCAGCTGCGGCCCCTGGAAAGACGGTATTTTGACATCAGTATGGCTTTGAGTAGCCCCAGTCACATGCCCTATAAACTCGGCGTGCCAGTGCTCAGTGCAAGCGCTTTAAGGGTACTTCCCACTTCATCACGTAGAAAATTCAGAAAGCATGCACGCGAGGGTTTGAGATTTAGTAAGACTGAAATCTGAACTGCTTCTTCAAGGATGTGCTTACGTGAAACTGGCTGCCTTTTTTTTTTTTTTTTTTTAAATTGCAAGTATCACCACAATTCAGGCCCAGGCTTCAGCAGTTTAACCACTGGACAGTGAGTTCATTTGAACCACCACTGCCTCTGCACCCTTGGTGCACCTAAAACACCATGAAAAGGGCACATGATGTCTTAGGTTTGACCTTACACAGACCCCCCACTGCAGTCTGTGACCTTCACTCTGAGAACCACGAAGCTACACTATGACCGAGTATCCGTTGGCCTGATTTTGCCAACAATAATTTTATTCTCTCCAATAGAAGGTGATGATTTCTGATCAAGTAGTTGAAAAACCTCATTAAATGTAATACCATACGGTCTATTACAACTTAACTGTAAGAATAAATTCATCTTATTGTTATGTGAGTAAAAAGATTTGAGTAACCCTTATCACTGAATTTCAAAAATATTCAGTATTAATATTTGTGACTTATTTATTAAAAATGAAGACCATGGTTAGATTACCACAGCTTTGAGGAGTTCCTCGTTATAAGGACAATTTTTGGATCACACTAAGTATTTTTTTGTTAAGTCTTATTTTTTATTGAAGTGCAGCCAATTTATGTTAGTTTCAGGTCTACAGCAAAGTGACTCAGTTATACATATACACACACACACACATATATATATATTAAGGTTCTTTTCCACTATAGCTCATTATAAGAAATTGAATATAATTCCCTGTGCTATACAGTAGGTCCTTGTTGTTTATCTATTTTATATGTAGTTGTATGTGTGTCTGTTAATCCCAAACTCCTAATCTGTCCCTCCCTACCTCCACCCTCTGCAGTTGGTTTTCCATGTCTGTAGACCACACTAAATATTTAAATTGCCTTAAGTTTATGTAACATACACACACCTGTTATAATACAACTGTAAGAACTATCTGTAAGACCATTCTAAAGAGGTGTATGACTCTGGGTTTATTTCGGCCGCCCGACACTTTAACAAGTTGATTCTGGATATACTTTGTGTTACCCTATCTTCTACTAAATGTGTCTGTGCCATCACATTTTACAAGTCTGAACAAAACGTGCAGCCTTTACCGCGAGGTAAGTGAGAAGCTCCGATGTGAAGAGGCGGCCCCGGAGCATTGCTGCGGATGATAGACATCTGTACGTTTGTGGTCATGATGTGATGCAGGTTGCTGGGATGTCCCTGCAAGAAACAGGATGGCATGTTACTTTCACATGCCTGGTCTGAGCCACTGATGCTTAGCCATTGCTTCTAGGGAGTCAGTTGCCTCCAAATGTGGGCCAGGTTGTTCCTTTTAGGCAGTGAGCACCCCGAGGGAGAGGGCGCTTGGGTTTTTAAGTCAGTGTATCGAGGGCCGACCTGTGCCAGCAGGTGCGTGGTAAGCGACTGGGAGGACCATCAACTGCCTGGAGTCTAGCCAGCGGCCAGATCCTTACTGCTGATGACACATCTGACTGTCCACGTTCAGATACTCTCATTCTCAGTGTTAGCCTATCATGCTTGTCTTCTCTGTCTTGGCCAAAAGCTTGTTTTTCCTTATTCTCACTACTTCCTTTACACCCCATGGCATTCATTCATCCCGCAAGCTCTCCGGATTTCTCAGTAAATTTATAGCTAGCATCCAACAGGCACCCTCTGAGTGGCTCTGCAGTCACCCCGAGGTGTCCCCTCCTCACGCCCGCCCAGCCCTGACGCCAGTGCTTCTCCGGTGGCTGTTCCAGCACTTCTGGGAGTGAGGACTCGGCAGAATGACAAAATAAAAGAAAAACTTGGTGCTTCTTTTCAGAACACCGATTTTTTTTCTTGAAAACATAAAGGGAAAGAGCTTTGACATTGTTTTCACGGATGAGTCATTGAAAATATTTAAATAAACCAAATACGTATTATGGAGTAGGACTGCAATTTCGGGAAAAAAAATGAAGTTAAAACATGAGACTTCAGAGTAAATGCTCACGACTGGCGGGCCGTGGAGGGGACCTGCCGGTCGCCCAGGAGGTGCACCCACCTCAGGGGAAGAACCACCCAGAGGAGCACTACTGCTGTGAGGCTGCTCCGGAGCCAAGCACAGCCGGGCTGTGAGCTCACGGTCTCGGCTGTCTCATCCGGATGTGCATCGCACACAGCAGACAGTCAACACCCCTGGGCTCAGTGACCAAGACGGCTGTGCACACTCGTCTGATTCCCTGTGTCATCCTCCGCTGTCACCTCTACGACTGCCCCCTTGCAGATATCAGTGACCACTTCATGTTTTATTTAGTACAGTGCCTAACGTACTGCTGGCATTCAGGAAATAATGATCAACAGTCGGGCATCTCAGTTTGAAAATCAGCAAATTAAGAGGAAAAAAACCTGTTGTCCACTGATTGTTGCCACAGGAATGGCTGAAGCTTGAGGGATGCTACTCTCCATGGTAACGGTAACCTGCCCTGGAACCTTGGGGGGAAGTGACAAGGTAGAAGGTGGAGCAGGAGCAATGGGACGGCTAGGCATGGTGGGCTTCGGGGGTGGCTGCAAACAGAAAACCACACGAAACATATCAATAGCTTTTTACTAGTGATGCATTTCATTCTATACACGTACACAAATCAAACCTGGAGAGGGCCAGGAAGGATGCCAGAAGCCTCCTGAATTTTATCTTAGTATCAGAGGCTTTCCATTGAAGTACTGGCACTTCCATGTTACCGGTGAGAAAACATACAAAGCAAGGCTAAGTCACTTGCTCAAAGCCACACAGACAGCCAAGACTAAAACTGGGAATAAAGCCCAGAGCTGCATGGCTCACAGCCCACACTCTTTCCTCTGTACAGTGCTGCCTCCCAAGTCTGGGGGGAAGTAAACAGAACTCCCAAACTCCCAGTAACTGAAACATATCCGCAAGGTAATACACAAAGCGATATTCTCAGAGACCCCCAAATTAGCAAGTGATTAAAACAAAACCTTGGAGAAGAGTGCCACTCCAAGAGAAAAACTATCAGCATGCCCATAACGTGAACCGAGTAATGTCAGACGGGTATTAGAAAGGTCCTGGGATGCCCACTGCCCAGCGGCACGAGACTAGGCACTGCAGAACAGCAGGACTCTGAGTTACAGAGACGGCTGAACTGAGAGGTCAACGGGGAAAAACTAGGATCCGAGGCTACAGCCTAACACTTGGTGACAACTGTCAGAAATGCTAGCCAGTCTTAGCTGTGGTTCAATGTGAAATTTTAAACCTCTCCATTACCTTCATAAGTCCCTCCGAAAATGAGAGTGGCACTGCTGGCGTCAGATGTGCTGGTGGGGCTGTCACTGTGACAGGTGTGCCCGATGCAACAGCATGGTGTGTAGACAACACCTGCACCTGTGGATAGGGCCTTACCACAACAGGCTCTTGCTTCTCTTCACGGGCCTGTAGGGAGCTGCTGGAACCCATGTGCTCCCTGGCAGTGACTTCAGCGTCTCGACTAGATTCATCGTTGACTGGTAAAGACATGAAGGTGAAACAGTATTAATGAATGTAACAGCACACGCCAGAGGGGCCCCCACAGTTAAAGTTTCAGGGCTGATAAACCGACCCATTTCCTTGTGAGATTTTTCTGAACAAGGAGAATGAGGGCATTCGATTCCCTTGATGGATATCAAACCCAAAAGTCACACCTGGGGAACACGGGACTTGTTCTAGATATTGTGGCTTTCCCACTGCTACGAACAAAGGACCTGACAAGGACTGAAAATGGGCTCAAATGGTTGAAACTGTAAGACAAGATTCAAGACAATTTCACTTAAAATATTTATTTAAAAGGTTATAAGAAACTAATATTGAAAAGATAATTTAAGTATAGACTTTAGGTCCAAGAACATGTAGTATTCCAAAACAAATTTCTCAGTCCAAATCCCTAGAGTGAGCATGTAAACCTCTATCATTATTATGATACATTGAATAGACTCAACCTTTGAGAGACTCGCAATTTCACTTGCAGGAATGTGTCCTATAGACACAAAACACATGTGTAAAATGACTAAGGTACAAGGTGATTTGTCTCAGCATATTTATACTCGGAAAGGAACTGCAAAAAACCTACCTGTCCGTCAATAGGGGGCTGGCTATATAAACTACGGTATACTCACCCAACAGACTACCACATAACTATAAAAATAAAACAAGACAGCTTTTTAGGTACTCTTATGGAGAAATGTATAACATATACTATGGAAAAATACAGGAAAATAGAAAGGTACAGAATAGTGAAAAAGTAAATACACACAAACATACATGCATGTTTTGTTTTTTCAGATTCTTTTTTCGTGGGGGGAGGTAGTTAGGTTTATTTGTGTATTTATTTTTAGTGGAAGTACTGGGGATTGAACCCAGGACCTCATGCATGATAGGCATACACCCTACCACTGAGCTATACCCTTCCCCTCTAATACATGCGTTTGCATTTGTATTTGTATTTGTATAACGTATCTCCAAAGCATCGTGATTGCTTGAAGAGAAAGAAAGTGGATGACTGGAGGACAGGGGTGGGCGAGATACTTTTTTCACGTATACTCTTTTTTCTTTTGGCATTTTGGACCGTGGGAACACGTAGCCTATTTAAAAATTAAGTTAAAAAAAATCAAGGAACTTACATAAAAAAAGACAGTTTGTCAAAATATTAATTTGCACTGTCATTTTTCCAAAACAACATTATTTCTCTAAACATAAACATTACACTTATGTAAAACTTTTTAATTATTTGGAAAACGATAAAGAAAGTAAAGCTGCTCCCACGGTCTACCCTGCCCAAGGAGCCAACAGTTACTATTTTGGTAAAATCTTCAGACGCTTTTTGCCTCTTGAATTTTGGGTGAGTTTTGATTTATTTAACTTTTTATTGAACTGTAACCCTCATAAAGACAAGTGCACACATACTGATGGGATAGCTCATTGAACTTTCACAGACTGAACACACCTGAGTAATCCAGTACCTAGATCAAGGAGCGGAACATTCCTTGTTCCCCAGAAACTCTCCGTGCAGCCTGATTCCAGTCTGCATTCTCCCGAAGACACTATGCTAACTTCTAACACTACAGATGACTGTTGTGCACTTTTGAACTTTATATAAATACACTCACAACAGACATACCTGGCTGTCCTGCCTCTTCACTTACCGGTATGAGATATGCGCATGTTCCTGCACGCAGCTATAAACCTTTCATTCTCAGTATACTGTACCATCGCGTCAATAAATCACAAATTAGCCATCTGACCGCTAGTAGGCAGTTAAATCGGTCTCAGTTTTTTACTATTGTGAATAGTAGTATGAGTAATATTCACATATATGTCTTCTGGGGACCCTCTGTATCATTTCTATTGGATATGTACCTAAGAGTGGAATCGCTGAGTAATACAGAATATATACTACATTACTTTAAAAGTGCTAAGTGGAATTCCATTGCTTAGATGTACCATAGCTTTTATAACCATTGTGTCACTGATGGGCTTTTAGGTGATTTCCAAATTTTTGCTACTATCCACAACTGTGGAGTACATATCCGTGCGTACTTTTAGTCCTCGTTCCATGATCTCCTCAGGAACAATTTTCTAATTTTTTCCAAGTGCTGGGAGAAAAGACTGCTGTATATATTTCTTTAACGTGTATTTTATATTCCACTATATATTGACTTTTCTCCTAGGTCATTCAGACTTAAAATTTCATTTGTTTATTTATTTATTTATCTTTCGGTGAAGGTACTGGGGGTTGAACCCAGGACCTCAAGCTCACCCTCCCCACCTACCCCCCCATTTTAAAAAACCTTGCTTTTGAAAGCCACTTTACAGAGGTATGATTTGCATACAGTAAGATGGCTATTCTAAGAGTAGAGAGTTCAACGATGTTTTGTTTTTACATTCTCACTAACAACTTCGGAGCAGAATGGCTGGGTCCCCGTGGGAAACTTCACATGAAACTGCCCAGGCACTTTCCGAAGTGATTGTATCATCTTGTGTTCCCACAGCAGTGTTTTAAGAGCTCCGGGCATTCCTCATCCTCACCAGTGCCTGACACAGACACTCCAGTGGGAGTGCACTGGGGATCCCACTGTGGTTTCAGTCAACATTTCCATGGTGACTGGTAGTGCTGGACCTCTTTTTACGTGATCACGGGCCATCTGTATATATCTTCCTTTGTGAAGTATATGTTCCTATCTTTTGTCCATTTTTTAATCCATCGGCTTTACTGACCAAAGTACAAGCTACATATAAAATCTACTATTTTTTTGGATAAAATTAAATTTTCACAAATGTACTGGGTACTAAGACACAACAGCATTATGATAGCATTTTTTGTTATTCTGACAAGCTCACTCACGCCTCTCTACAGTCAGTCCCCTCCCTCCCACCCCTACTCCTTAGAAACCACACTACTGCTTTGTCTTTTGCGGAATTTCGTATAAACAGAACCACATCGTATGTAGTCCTTTGTGTCTGGCTTCTTTCTTAGTATAATGCATCGGAGGTTCCTCCACATTACTCTGTACACTGGAAGTTTGTTTCTTTTTACTGTCGTCCAATTGTCCATTGTACGGATCAACCAAACTTTGCTTATCCAGTGAGCAAAAAAAAACTGGATAAAATTTGGGTTCTTTCCAGATTGGGGATATTATGAATAATGTTTCTATAGACACTGAAGTAGAAGTCTTTGTACGTAGGACACACATTTTCATTGGGTAAATATCTAGGAATGAGACTGCTGGATTGGATGGTAAGCTTCTGTTTAATTTTTTTTAAGATACTGTGCCAAACTGTTTTCCAAAGTGGCTAGGTTGTTTTGGATTCCCACCCATGTATGGGTTCTACTTGCTCCACAAACACATTAAAACTTGGTAACGGCAGTCTTTTTACTTCGGTCATTTTAGTCCACTTATAGCAGATATGCACTGTGATTTTCACTTGCATTGCCCTGAGGATTAATACAGCTGAATACCTTTTAAGTGCTTATCTGGCCTTTATACAGCATCTTTGGTGAAGTATCCGTTCAGATTTTTTTTTAAAAAACCAGGCTGTTTGCCTTTTTACTATTGAGTTACAACAGTTTTTTGTATATTCAAGATGTAAGTCCTTTGCAGATACATTTATCACAAATGTCTTCTTATTCTGTGGTGTGCCTTTTTCTTAATGGTGTCTTTTGAAGAGCAGTCACTTTTAATTTTGATAAAGTACAACATATTAGTTGCTTCCTTTACAGTTAGTGTTTTTTGTGCCCTGAGCAATTTTTACTTACCCCAAGGTTACAGTTTCTCCTAGCTTTTTTTTAATAGAAATTTTAGGTTTTATAATTTGGGCCAAAAACGATACATTTTGAGCTAATTTACATGCATGGTGAAAAGTCAAGGCTCATTTTTTTTTTTTTCATATGGATAGGCTGGGATTCTAGCACTACTCTGTTGAGAAAACTACCATCTCTTATCGAATCTATATACCTTTATCAAAAATCAACTGACCATTATGTGCGGGTTTATTCAGGATCTTCCACTCGGTTCTAATGAGCCAGTGATTTATGCCAATATCACACTGTCCTGATCAGTGCAGCTTTACAGTAAGACTTGAAGTGAGGTAGTAGAGTCCTCTTGACTTTCTTCTCCTCCTTCTTTTTCTTTTTCTTCTTTGTCTAAACTACTTTGGCTATTCTAAGGTCCTTTGGTTTCCACATAAATTTTAGATTCAGATTATCAATTTTTAGGAAAGTACCTGATGTGATTTTGATTAGGATTTGTTAGAATCTA